CATCTTGCTAATAATGTCAAACTATTACAGATCATGCTGGACTCTAGTAATTTAGAGTTTACCGAAACTCAAAAACAGTTAACTTGAGTTAATTTTTACTTAGCATGACCTTTATTCACTTTATACTTTAATGATGATAACCTACATGAAAATACATTTGAGTAGTTTTCAAGTAGTCTAATGTATTGGACAATCCTATGTATCAAAACTGGCATCTTCAAAGTATCTTTTTAGGTAACATTGTACTAGCCAAAGTTGAGTTAGTTTCACATGCCCTCCCCAACTTTTATTATGAAGATTTTAAAATATTCTGAAAATTGAAAAAAGATTTACATATGACCATCACTTAAATATAATGATTGTTAACATTTACAGTATTGGCTTTATGTTCTGTGTGTGTGTGTATTTGCAACAGAATGTAAAAGTAAGTTATTTGAGGATATACTTCAATCAATATCAAGAATAAGATTTTCACCTACCTTTGTACAACATCATCTAAGAAAATAATCGTTACCTAAAATAACTTAAAACCAATCCATGTTCAGATTCCCCAGCTTAGCCCAGTTGTCTTCCAAAGCTGATTTTTTTCTTCCAATCTAAGATGTGAAGTTTACACATTGCATTTTATCTTTAAAAATAGTTTGATTGATATATAATTAGTAAACAGTAATTTGTACATAATTAAATTGTAGAGTGTGAAATAGTTACAGGGTTGTCCTGTTCTTTTTTTTTTTTTTTGGCAGTATTGAGATTCAAACTCAGGACCTCACACTTGATAGGCAAGAACTCTACCACTTGAGCCACACTCCCAGACCATTTTTGCTGTAGGTTTTTTTTTTTTTTTTTTGGCTGTACTGGTTGAACTTTGGGCCTCATGCTTAGTAGGCAGGTACTCTACAACTTGAGCCACTCTGCCATCACTTTTTTGTGTTGTGTATTTTTGAGATGGGGGTCTCACTTTCATTTTGCCTTCTCTGGCCTCAAACTGATCCTTCTGATCTCTGCCTCCTGAGTAGCTAGGATTATAGGCATGAACCACCAGCACCTGGCTTCTTTAGTTTGTTTTTGATAGGGTTTCACACTTTCTACCTTCACCTCCTACATAGCTAGGTTTACAGTTGAATACCACCATGCCTGGCTCATTTATTGAAATAGGGTCTCACTAACTTTTGTGCCTGGACTGGTCTTGAACTGTGATTTTCCTTTCTTCTAAGTAACTGGCATTATAGTCATGAGTATTTGTTTTTGAGTGTTTTGTGTTTTTAAAGGAATTTATACATTTTATCTAAGATGTCAAACTTGACATTTTCTTCATGAGTTTTAAGAAGTTATGGTGCATCTTGGAGTTGTTTCCTTTGTGTTTTTTATGTGTGGTTCATTAAACTTCATGGGCTTGTGGGTTTATAGTTTTCATCAAATTTGGCAATTTTTGACCATTATTCCTTTAAGAATTTTTTTCTGTCTACTGCCCTTCCCCTTTCTTGAGGATTCCAGCTACAAGGATATTAGGCTACTCAGAGTTATCCCAGACCTCATTGATGCTCTGTGCATTTTAAAAAATTCTGTTCCTGTCTGATATGTTTTCAAGTTCACAGGCCCTTATTTCTACAAGGTGTAAGCTGCTATAAGTTTCATGAGTGGCACATTTTTAACTTTAGAAATTTTTTGTTGTTATTTATTTGTTAAATATAGGTCTTTTGTTTTTGTTTAGATTTTTTTTTGGAATAGGCTCTCCCTACTGTTAGACAGGCTGGCCTCAAACTCACAATCCTCTTGCCTCAGCTTCCTTAGTCATGAGATTGTAAGCATGCACCACCATGCCTGGCAAATTTAGGCCTTTTTAAGAAATACATTCCATGTATTGTTAAAATGGGCTCAGATTTTCCTTTAGTTCTTAAAGGAAACTAAAACACATTCTAAAAATGTGGAATACAGTATGCCCACCTTATTCATGGATTTATTTAAATTAAATGACCAAGCATGGTCAAAATAAATCAATAAAACAATAAAAGGAAATTTGAAAAAAATTTTAAATTCCCATACATGCATTACTCAATATACATTAATGTGGAGAAGCTCTCAGTCAGTTTTGTGGTTTTGTCAATTATGTCTAAATCATTGTGTTATCTGCTGAGTGTTTGCCTGCCCTTTTTGTGAAAATCTGCCTCTCAAAACAGCAAATGGTCTCCCCAGAGGAAGGTAAAAGTTAATGTGCTTAATTAAGTGATAAAGTTAAAATGTTAGGTTTGTGGAAAGGAAGCATGTCTTTTGAGTAGTGTTATGGGAAGAATGAATCAAGTATCCACATTGTAGTATTGAATTCTGTGCATCCTGAGCATTTGTGTTTTTTTCTTAACAGTGATCTCTTTGAAACCATGTGCCCACAGGTTCCAACGGTCTGCTGTATAGTTGTAATAACTACTTGAATATCCTTCTCTACTAATGCTGTCATTTGTTTTATTGTTTATTATTGATATTACTTCTCATTATGGATTACATTTCCTGCCCCTTGTATTCCTGGTAATTTTTAATTGTAAATTGTACCTTGTTAAGTGCTGAAGCAGTTTGATCTTTTTGCTTGTTGTTTTTACTATAGTTGATCTTAGCCAAAATGCCAAGAAGCTGTTGGGTATTGCTTTTCATCTTATGTGGGGTCAGAACAGCTTCCCGTGTAGGACTAATTTTCCTCTAACACTTAAGACCAAACTCTTCTGTGTACTCTACCCAATGCTCATGAATTACAAGTTTTTCAACTTCAGTAGGGTACAGACATTATACCCTGACCTTTGTGAGCCCTGCATATCCTCTAATCCATTCAGATTTTTCTTTCCAAGCTTCAGGGGTTTTCCTTACACATCAGCCCTAATAGGACTCAGCTGAATACCAGAGGTAGCTTCTATGCAGATGTTAGGTGTTTTCTTGTAGCTCTGTCTTCTCTTGTCATCTTCCCTGTAAGCTCTAGCTTCTTGGTCTACTGAAACTCTCAGCTTCATCTCTTTACTTTAGAAAGACCAATAGGTGCCACCTACATTTCCTCTGTCTGGGTTGTGAACTAGAAACTGTCCAGCCAGTAAACTGGGCAGTTGTAGCGCTCACCTTACTTGTTTTCCATCTCCCAGTCCTTCACTGCCTAGACTGCCTAGTGGCCAGTGTGTTGAAACCATTGCTTTATGTATTCTGCTTTTTTTTTTTTTAATGTAGGTAGGAAGGTGAATTTGATCCCTCTTATTATATCTTGACCCCAATTGCAAGTCCCAGGAATTTATTTGAAGAAAATACATTTGTATTTGATTGGCAGTACTCAGGGCCTCATGCTTGATAGGCAGTGCTGTACCACTTGAGCCACTCCACAAGCTACATTTGTATTTGAAAGATACATTTTATGTTAGGTTTTTCTCTCTTACTACATACTTCTTCCCCCAAGTTACTGCCAACTGATACTTTCACTGTTTTTATCTTTTTCTTATTTTCCAAATAATTTTCTGTTAAAATAGATTTCCCCAACTGAAAATAAGAAAATTAAATGAAAAAATTCAAGTTTCTAAAGCATGCCTCTGGTTTGCATTGCAAAAGGTAGTGCTATAGGGGTGATGAGTAGAAACCCAAAGCAATTTATTCTGAGATGTGTTAAAGGAAGGACACCTATAGCTATTTCATAAGCACTATATTCCCAGTTTGATAAATAAATATTGTCTATGGATACTTACAGTTTATTTTTTGTGTTCCAGATAATCAAGCAAAAGAAAGATGAGCTTTATCTATGGACTGCAGTTTGCCACTAGAAATTATTTTCTCTCCCAATTTAATTCACTGGCCATCCGGAGAAAATGGAACTTACTAGCAGTAACTCCAGTGGACTGTCATCAAGTACAAAATCTCCATGTAGTAATTAAGTATCAGGGATTTAAATCCGTCAAACACTGTAATGTGACTTTTCTGCCTAAAAACTTTCATTCCTATAGGACTTACAGTAATAAAACAACAGATTGCCTCTTACGTGCCAACAGTAAGGAAATTTGGATGAATACTCATAAATGTACTTGGTGGAATGAGACTTTTCGAAGATGGGTACTGATAAAAGAAGTTGCAGTCATTCCCACTCATGTAGCCTCGTGTCCTCTGAGCTATTCTCTGGGAAAAGCTGCCAGGAGTATCCATACTTCTCCACGGGTTCAAGCTGCTCCAGTCCCCCTCTGGTTGATCATTCTGAAACCAGTGCAGAAGCTACTTGCCATCATCGTGGGCAGGTAAAATATTAAAAAATAACCTCTTGGATTAACTTACCAATTTTTATAGTCACATTTTGTCTCAACTTACACTAACTTAAAAGTTAAACTGTGATGTTTATGCAACTACACTTCTAAAAAAACCTTGTTAATCCTCACCCACACCATATTTAGCTCAAAATTAAGTTTCCAAAAAGCAAGTCCTACCCCAATTTTATTTGTGATTTAAAAATCTTGAAATAATTATGGTACAGAAATGTGATCTTTGAAAAATTACATACTGGTCTAGTCAGTTAAAAAATATAAAAAGAATCAGAAATATTGGTTATAACTCATGTATAAAAACAGTACTTACAAATGTTGTCTCTGTGGAATTTCAGGCAGTGAATCGTGAAACTGAGGAACTTATGTATATAAAAAAGAGCTCATGCTTAGCCAAGTTAACTCTAAAAAATATTTTTTTTCTATTCTGTCTCTAAGATATCATTGTTATTTTCTCTTGGTAGTCCTTTATAAAAAATTATCATTTTTATAGGTAAATAGTTTTTTTTTAAGCCCTGTTTTCCCCTTGTTTTATGAAGATAGAAGAAAGCTAATCCTTGTCTCTTCATAAAACTTTCCTAAATTTGTTAACTACAAAGATCCTTTTAGCCCTCTTCTTTTTTCCGTATTAACAAACCAATTTACATTTACTCAAAACTCAAGAACTTGTCTTGTAACATTTTGTGTTCTTTGTGATTTGGTGTTGACACTCAGAAAATATGTAGCTACATTGTCTCACAGATTAAGTAACAACATCACACTAGTTTCTTGGAATAATTAGTAGCTTTCTGAGTTCTAATATGTTCTTATCCTTGTACATTAGTTTTACTTTTGTTGTTGGTTTTACTGCTGTAAGTTAACTAAAATTTTTTCTTAGAGTATGTTCTGTATACTTTTTTTCTGCATACATTTCAAATAAATACTACTGCCATATAAATTTTTAAATAGGAAATAAATATACTTCATAGTTTGATTTTTGGCCCTTCTGGTTCAAACACTTTGTCTAAAGGCATTTCATGTGTATCAGTGTGTTAGTCAGCTTTCAGTCACTGGCAAAACACCTGATCTAATAACTTAAAAGGAACAAAGATTTTTTATTTTGGATAAAATATTTTCAAAGGTTTCAGTCCATGGTTGCTTGGCCTATGGTGGCACAGTATATCATGATGAGATTGTGTGGGGAAAGAGGCCTGTTTACTTCCCAGTGGCTAGGAAGCCTACAGAGAGAAATGGGATGGGATAGGGGTCCCGATATCCCCATCAGGGGTATGCCCCCAATGTCCTAACTCTTCCTCCCACTGGGCTTTACCTCTTAAAGGTTTCACCACCTCCTAGTAAGATTGGCAACCAAGTCTTTAACACAAAAGCCTTTGGGGGACACTTCCAGGCAATAGTAGTTACTTAACGAAATTATGATAACTGTAAGAAGTTATTTTGTAAAATAAATTTTTGTGAAGAGAATGTTGTATGTATGCCAAATTTTTATTAAGGTTTCACAAATGAACTCACAAGGAAAAATTTTTATCCCATTATTAAAAACATTCCTTGGTGTCAAAAATGTTTGTGAACTCTGCTAAGCAGTTAAGAGACCTGTTGCCTGTTAGAAAATGGACCTCCTCAGATATTATTTATAAAATACTCCATTTCCTTATTTTCAGTGCTTCCCATCTTCTTAGTGCCTTTCCTTTCTCATGTTCTAGAGAGGACAGTGGAGTTTCTGCTTCTGAGCAATATATACTTCTGAAATCAATGCTGAGGTAGTTTCCCTTGTGCCTTGCAGAAGCACTGGCAGATTGTGCCAGAAGTCTGAGGAGCAGTGGGAAGAATAGTAGTTAAAGGTATAGATTTATTGTACCTTTACCCCTCAGATGTTTATTTGTGCAATCTATCCCTGTTAAGTGGTGAAGTGGTCAGTCTCTGGAATGTCGTTTCCTTCATTGCCTGGTTTTCCTTTTATGATCTCTGCAACCTTGGACAAGTTGCTTGAGTTCTACATCTCAGTTTTCTATAACTTGGTTATAGGAAGTTTAAATTAAATGACATATGTATAATGACTAGAAGAGAACTTTGTGATAAATAGTCAGTTAATATTATTTAGTGGTTGTGGTAGTGTTTTATGTTTGTCCTTAAAGTAGTTGAAGAGGAAAATTCAGATGAGCATTGGAATTTTTAATCTATAACTTTACATAATCAATTAGTTTATTCTTTAGCTAAGAATTTTATAAGTTAAAAAACCTATTTTTACAGTGAAATATAAATATTCAAATGTTTGATGTAATAAAACCTAGTATTGCATTTAAGTTTTGGTGATATGTGCTGAAATGATTATTAGAACTGTGAATTTTTCTCTTTGCTCTAGGGGCATAAGGAAATGGTGGCAGGCACTTCCTCCTAACAAGAAGGAGCTATTTAAAGAGAGTGTAAAGAAGAATAAGTGGAAGCTACTCCTTGGTTTGAGTAGTTTTGGACTGCTATTTGTAGTGTTTTATTTTACTCACCTGGAAGTAAGCCCCATCACAGGGAGGAGCAAGCTACTATTATTGGGAAAAGAGCATTTCAGACTTCTGTCAGAACTGGAGTATGAAGTAGTAAGTAGTAAGAATTGTTTTAAATTAGATTACCTAAGGTAGCACTCAAAGAGAAAAGTTTCTTAAGTGTGAAAGATGCATTGCTTTTTATTTTAGTCATTGATATGAAATTAGTACTTTTTTCTAGAAGGCCTCAGACCTTTCACACTGAGTATTCCCACTGCCTGCATTGCTTTTTCTCCATCCACCCCGATAACTCCTGTTGAGCACATGTCACCTTGACTGTCACTTTTTCTGGAGAGCCTTCCCTGGATTGTTCATACTGGGTTAGGCAGGGTGATTAGATGAGGCACTAGGGTTTCCTTCATTCAGACTGAACTATGCAGCTCATTTGTAGTTGTGCCCTGTGCCTGGCCATACTGCGGTTGGTTTGCCTACTTTTTTCTATTCTTTTCTTACTGTACTTTCCCTTTAAAACACTTACACAAGAGTAGCTTAATAGCTATTAATATTAATAACTGTTAAGACCAGCATAATTATTTACGTGCTGGTCTGTCTCTCTTGTTAGACTAAACTCTGGGGTCAAGGACCTTGTTTGTTTTATCATTTTATCTTAAGGAGTAGCATAGCATTCAAATTAATGTTTAGGGTATTTTTGTAGAAGAATTATAGTTAGAATTTTTGTACTTTGAAAGTCAGGCATAAGAGATTTTTTTTTCCCCCCAAACATCAGTTCTGAATTTTGGCAGTTTTTTTTTTTTTTGAGACAGGGTTTCACTCAGTAGCCTAAGCTGGCCTGGAACTTGCTCTGTAGCCCAAGCTGACCTGGAAATCACATTCTTCCTGTCTCAGCTTCCTAAGTGCTGGGATTATAGACATGTACCACTATGCCTGAATATATTTTCTGAAGCATACTAAAAAGTTGGAATTCAGAAGTTTTAACTCCTTGGAAAGTGTAATAACTCAGGTACAGATTTGACCCTTGTGAGTTCCACAAAGATGAAGATCATCATTGTGTCTCTAGTGCCTGGCATGTGCTCAGTTACTATTGGTTCAGTTGATGTCTTAGCCTCACTGGAAAGCTTCAACATGGTTGGGTCTTTATATCTTTTTATTCCAGATGAACTTCAGAGTTTATCAAAGGAAAGTTACCACAAAAAAAATGAAATAGCAATGGCTTCTCACTATAAAATTGTTATTAAGATCAATTTCTTGTAGTAGAGTGTATACAGAGATTTGAAATGTTTCTTAGAATTTAGTTTAGTTGGAGGCAAGTTTGAGGAAAATATTCTGGAAAGATTGAGACAAACCATGTCTTATAAGTGCACCTTTTGCCATTCATACTGCTAAGAAATTTAAAAAATACATGTATTGTAGACATATTTATCTGTACATAAATGCATGTGTATATGCACCATAGATATAGTTCTCTTTTTTATTGTTTACAGTTGTGATACCTGCTTGTTATGACAATGCAAACACATGTTCTTAAAGAGATACTATAAAGCACTATAGCTTTATAATAACCTTATAAATTTATAATTATTATAAATTTATAGATTTATAATAATCTTAGCTCCTTCAGTTAGTAGTTTTTTGTTTGTTTGTTTCAGACAGTTTATATTAATGAATTATGCTTTAAAAATGTTTGGTAGAGCACCTGACTAGCAAGTGTGAGGCCTTGAGTTCAAGCCCCAGTACTGCAAAAAAAAAAAAAAGCATGAATAAAAATGTTAACTGACATGAAGATGATTTTAAATTCATGTTCTATAAAGTCCTGCAATTTTAATGATTTTCATTAATTTATTTCATTGATTCATATGTGAATGAAATTTCACTTTTTTCTTTTTGATGGAACTGGGTTTTGAACTCAGGTCTTCACACTTGCAAAGCAGGTCCTCTACTGTAGCCACATGTCCGATCCATTTTGCTCCAATTATTTTGGCAATGGGGATCTTGGAACTATTTACCATGGCTGGCCTGAACTGCGATCCTCCTGATTTCAGCTTCCAAAGTAGGTAGAATTATAGATGTGAGCCACTGTTGCCTGGCTAAATTTCTTTTTTTCTCTTTGGTGTTGATACTGGGTTTGAACTCAGGGCCTTGTGCTTGCTAGGCAGGTACTCTACAACTTGAGCTTACTCCCCCAGCCCAAAAATTTACATTTTATGGACATCAAAGTAATATTTTTAGAACATCCTTAATTTTCTCAGTATATTTGAAAGAATTTCTTGTGACTATCAGAAAAAAGTCTTTATATCTGAAGTGGCTAGTCTTTCTTAATCAGCGTCATATGGAGAAATTACTATGCCCATTAGTTCTGAGATTTCAGTAGTTTCTTTTCATTCTGTGTAAATAAAATACTTTAAAATTAATGAAATGTCTTTTTTGAGCTAAGTTAAATTTCGTATTAAGTACAGAGTTTTGTTTTTGTCTAGTGGGTTGTAAAATAATTTTCTTTTGCATCTTACTTTTTTATATGAAATTTTAGTTCTTTAGGTAGTGCTTTCTGTAATACTTAGGAAAGTAGAGCTAATATGTAAGCATTTTACTTGTATATAGGTTAATAGAAAAGAAGAATAAAATTTTGATTTCAGCATACTTAGTGTTAAATTTATTCCTTTGTGAGAAACCATGTTGCTTTTGTATGAATAATTCAAATTTCAAAAACTTAAGTGTTTAATATATGCAACTTTTTAATATTAATTAGCTAAATAACTCTTCATGAGGTAATGTAAACATTTTGTGGAGCTACATCTCGTTTAATAAAAGAATCCTTTTACTCTTCTAGTGGCTGGAAGAATTTAAAAATGATATGTTAGCTGAGAAAGATCCACGATACCTGACTGTTAAAGAAGTGACTCATCATCTAATTGAGTGCAATAAGGATATCCCCGGGATCTCTGAGATCACCTGGGTTATTCACGTTGTTGATTCCCCTGATATAAATGCTTTCGTGCTTCCAGTAAGTGAATGTTCTCCTATGCATTTTTATTGTTAAATTTGATGTCTTTTATTTGTTATGGCTTCCTAGTCACTTACATTATTGTCTTTATGATGCAGAATGGACACATGTTTATTTTCACTGGGCTTTTAAATAGTGTAATTGATACCCATCAACTTTCCTTCCTTCTGGGCCATGAAATAGCACATGCAGTACTTGGGCATGCTGTAAGTACCTAAATGAATGTGTAATTGTTGAAATACTGCTTTGAAGTTAGCAAACTATATCTTTTAAGTAACTGAATCTTTTCAGTTTCTTTTTTTTTTAGTGATGGAATTTTAGTTGTTAGTAATTATCTTACACTATTACCTGAAAAAATGTGATTGGCTAATTTGGAGAATTTTTATGATCGTTGGTATTTGATGCTGAACAATTAATATTTCTCTTAAATACTATTTTTAACCACTTGTCTCTATAACTAAAAAGTAATTATTCTCAACCTCTAATTAATTTCAGATTAAAATTTAAACTTTACCTGATAATTAACATACTTGTATTCTAGTCACAAAACTGTTAGAAAGTGATATTACTATTTAAGTGGTAGATTAGTTTTCTTCTTTTTTAAAATTCATTCTCAGAGGATAGCTTGAAGCATCTCTGAAAGTGTCTAGAATGATATGTTATATGTAATTAATGTAATGATACAGTGCCATCTTACAACTTGATGAGCTCTTTAATATGTATCTTCTTGTTCATAACATTAATACCTCATGAAGTGTGCATTTACTGTCCCAACACATATGAGGAAGCTAATGTTATAAAGACAACTGAAGAGACACAGTACCTGCACTTGGACTTTAAGCCAGGTCTTCTGTATGCAATTCAGTGTTTTTTCCATTCACTATAGTTACCTGCTTGTTGGCAGCACTTTTCTTACAGATTATTGAGATCAGGTTGATTTATACTCCTTTGATTACACATTTATTGAACTTAGTGCAAGTCCAGTGAAATAACATGTATTTGTTGTACTCATTTTTAATTGTTATTCATTAAAAATATAAATAACTCTTTTGTCCACATAATTAGAAGTATATTTTCTTTAATTGCAAGCATGAAGGTAAATAGTGAAAGGATTGCAAAGTGCTAAATCAGAAATGCAAATATTATTAACTTCAAATTGTTTATAGTCCTTCTAAAAGTCATCTCAAATCTTAAATTCTGTGTATTCCTTAGAGTAATAATAAGATGAACTGGGCCAAACTTGTGCTTTTCTGAAGCATGTATAGTAATTATTTTTCTGATTTCTAGGAAAAATTTAAAAATATTTTCTTAAATATATACAAGAATAAATCTAAGGAATTGAAATAGTGTCATTATATGTACTCTAATAGCTTTCAAGTAATGGTGTCATACCTACAAAAATATATATGTTTCAGGCATTTTAGCATTTAAAATGCATTACCATTCAGTCCACTTGATTTCTGGCATCTGGTTCAGTGCCTCAAACTTAGCATAGTGTTGTCATTTCTATCAGTGCAAGAACAATAATTAGATGCAATGCAAAATGCAAATAAAAGTCTTAATGGAAAGTGTCTTCATTATCAACACACATTTCTCTTTGGAAGTCTCAATTTTGATTAAATTTAGCATTTTGTATTCTTTACTCTGCAAATATGCAGTTTTTTTTATTTCTAGTTTTCTAAGACTGTCTTATTGCCATTATATTCTTTAATAATTGATAGCAAGGACTTTCTGTTCTATAATGACTGCATCATTTTGAGTTTCACTCTTTCATGTTAAAATAATTCCATAATTGTTTTTCACAACTAACAGTTCTTACAAAGTGTGTTTTGTGAGGATAGATTATATTGGCAAAGTATATAGTCTAAATCTTTGTTTTAGTTTTTGGCCATGTTTTATACATTCAAGTAATAAGTATATTGTTAGTATCAGTATTTACATTAACATTTACTAGTCAAATTTAATTGTGAACAATGAACAATTCAATGCATTAAATTGTATCAGACATTACTAATGCCAAACAGCTATTGTTTGTCAAACCTTTTTTGGTTACTGCTTTTAGATAAATACAAAAACTCATAGAACCCAATTCTCTGGTGAGAAATAACAAAGTTGTAAAATTAAATTCATGGACAAATGAGTCATACTTTCATATATTAGGTCATAAAGATCAAAAGATTTTTATTTAATAAATCTCTGAATTGTTCTTATCTTAACCACTTTATATGTTAGTAGTGCTGAGTCTATCCAAAAATATAATAAACACATTTGTTTGATGTTTAAAAACATATAGTGACTATATTAAAAACTGAAACTGGATGTGCTTGATTTTTGGTCCTTTCACTAATAGCTATGTGAATTTGGTAGTTTCATTATAAAATGGGGATAATTGTACCTGTTTCACAGAATTGTTGTGCTTGTTAATGTAGGAAACAATAGTCTGATGAACCTGTCATTGTCTCTGACTCTTAGTAAATAGCTCAGTAAATGTTAGTTAAATGCATGAATGCATATGGAAGTATGTAAGTAAGGGAAAGGAAAAACAGATGAGAAGGCTGGCAGAGTAGCTCAAGAGGTAAGAGTGCTTGCCTAACAAGTGTGAGGCTCTGAGTTCAACCCCAGTGCTGCCAAAAAAAAAAAAAAGAAAAGCATGGGAAAAAGGATAAAGACACTGATCTTAAGTTCGTGAAGGCCAATTAAAACACATGTAATTATTTAATGTGATTTACATGATAGCTAGAAAATGTAAATATGTACCATCTCAATTCATTAAATGTGATTTTCATTATTTTGATTATTCTCAGGCAGAAAGGCTAGCATGGTTCATTTATTGGATTTCCTAGGTATGATTTTTCTCACAATGATTTGGGCCATTTGTCCACGAGATAGCTTGGCGATTTTGGGCCAGTGGATACAGTCTAAGTTGCAGGAGGTAAGTCTGAAATAATAATTTGAATTTATAATGGCCTGTGGTGAAGACATTCTGATACTACTGTGAAACAACAAATACCAGAAATATTTTCATATTTAGTACCCACATCATGAAATATTGTACTAAATTTTAGGGTATGTTTCTTATTTTTAAGAGAGATTCTTACATATGAGTATTTAAATTAAGGAATAGTACATCTCTCAAATGATGCTTAAGTGTGGATTAGAAAGGCTGAACAACTTTAGGCTAATGTAATTTTTTTTTTTTATATGTGTTGGTCTTACAGAAAGAAAACTCAGGTACTGACCCTTCCTTTCATTCTGAATGACTGCCCCTACCCCAGATATTTGCATTTTGGTGGGGAACTGTTCCCAGATTATAATGAGCATGGGATTGGCTGAAGCTGCTTTACCACTTCTGCTCACTCCCATTTAAACTAACATTGACTTATATATGTGTGTGTGTGTTTCATGGTGGTACTTGAGTTTGAACTCAGGGCTTCATGCTTGCTAGGCAGGAGCTTTTTTCACTTGAGCAACTCTGCCAGCCCTGCCCTAAAAATATCAAAAGGACAGTTTTACTTAGTATTGTTGACTTTGTTCTTAGTGCTTATGTGTCATGAGAATCATCTCAAAAATTTATTAAATCCCTTGTTTTATTCAAAATATTGCATTACTGAAAGCCAGTCTTGTCATCTTCACAACTGCTTTGTTAAGTGTGATTAATTATTTATTTTACATCTTTCTTCCAGTATTTCTTCTTGTCCCTGGAAGGTCTAGTTATTTAGGAACAGCTTGTTATTTGTTTATTTAATGATTGTTGGAGCACCCCATCAGAGTGCCATCGGTGCTGTGTCAAGATAATGTACAAATTCTTTGAGACAAATTGCTTTTGAGCTGGATAACTAAGTCATTTATATAGTATTGTCATATCATGTTGGCCTCATTTCTTTTGCAATAAAGGTTCTCAAAGGGAAGAAGAAAAAAATGGTTATGGTTTAGGTTACAGGACCTTGTATTTTGAACTTCTTTTGGTCACTACCTGCTGAGTTAATGTAGTTTTCCTGTCCATATATAGATGCTTCGTTTGTAATGCAATCAGAAGATTTGACCATAACAAAGATATGTTTCACTCTGGAAATACTTGTTGAGTCTTGCCCTCTGTAGTGTAATTCTTCAATTAACTAATTAAGCAGAAAATAAATAAGGATGCCTTCTGCTTGAATTCTTTTTACATAAATCAAGGCCCCTCAATAATTTTGTTGGCAAGGAGACATTTTCTTCTTCTCCAATGCCCTGCTCACTGTGTTTGGAAAGTAGAAAGGAATTCTGATAGTGAAGTTGTTATGGAATGGAAATTCATTTGCCATGAATATTTGCATGATGATTGAATGATAAACTTAGGCAATAGGGCTTCAGAATTATGTCATTGTGGGGAATTTAATATGTTCATTGTGGGGAATTGTTTTGTGCAATTTAGAATGTTTTGCAGCATATCTGGTCCCTACCATTAGATGCCAATGGCTGTCTCTCCCATGGTTGTGATAAAAATATCTCTAAGAGCTGGTTGTGGTGGCACACACTTATACATACTTCCAGCTACTTGGGTGGAGGGAGGAGGATTTCTTGAGCCTGTAAGTCAATACTAACCTGGGGTAATATGGTAGACCCCCATCTAAAAAAAATCAGCTGGGCACTGTGGCTCATGACTATAATCCTAGCAATTGGGAGACTGAGATAGGGAGTTTTGTGTTAGAGGTCAGCTCAGGCAAAAAGTTTGCAAGACCCATCTCCACCATAGCTGGGCACACATAGTGAGCCTGTCATTCCAGCTATGCAGGAGGCTGAGATTGGGAGGATTATGGTTCCAAGCAACCTGGACAAAAAAGTTTTGTGAGAACCTCTCTCAGTGGAAAAAAAGCTACAGTGGGAAGCCTAATAGTAGGATTGCAGTTCAGACCTGTCTGGGCAAAAAAAAAAGTGAGACCTATCTCCAAACTAGCCAAAGAAAAGAGGCTGGAAGATGTGGCTTAAGAGGTAGAGCTAGCCTGCTTGCAAGTGTGAAGCTCTGAATTCAAAGCCCTATTCTGCCCAAACCAAAATAAACAACAAAACAAGACAAAAACCTCCAAACTGTTTACAAA